CAACTTTTACGACCTTCTGACAAGAAAAGTCAATAGAGAAGCCAGATTCTCTTAAGAACTATGTTATAACTTAATCACTGCAGTGATTCACTTTACAACTATTACAAGAAAGGTCGTAAAATGGGACAAAACTCATTTAACAACTATTCTTGCTCAGCAACAGAAATGTTGGGATCAGTTGTGGTCATTAGTCGAGAATTACCTGTATATGATAAAATGAATAGGCATTATTTACGGAATGTCTTGAGTTAATATGGAGCTCACAATTGGTTGCTGAAGTTAATTCATTCTGTGGACAGAATATGGTATGTATACAATGAGGGTAACATTAAAAATGCTACATGGGTGACTTTCAAGGACAAAAAGGTATGAATATGAGTAGTGAATTATATTGATGTAAATTTCATTTTCCTATCTCCTTTTCTTTTTTCTTACCACATAACTTTAATTTATTTGGCTTACTTCTATGCTTTGCATAATACTGCTTATCTCAAAAGGAAGCCATGTGAGATATATAAAGGTAAAATCATTTCCAAGACAGTTTTCAAAATATAATCCTTTTTTAAAAAAAGAAAAACAGTAATAAACATTTATAAATTAATGAATATATAACCCAGATAGCAGTGAGATAAATACTAATATTCAGTTTAGAACCTAAGATAAAACCCAGGAAAGAAAAGACTGCCAAAAATGAGTTTTGAGTATTTTCTTAAAATATGATTGCTGATGCTAATTTTATAAACTACTGTGAGACTACCTTTGAATAAGCTTGGCTCCTTGTATTTCTATAATTACCCTCAGAAGTAGGAAAACAGAAAGATTCTCCATTGCTAACCCTAAAATTCAGGCAGAATAATTCAGAAAATCAAAGACATTATTGAATGTGGCTGTCATACCCTATACAATTAATGCATGTTCATTTTTGTTGTATTTTCTAAATGGAAGGAGCTTCCAAGTAAGATATTTTGTTACATGCAACAATTGAGCATTGTGCATATGCAACCATATATGCCTGTGTTTCAAATGCATTAAAATAAAATATAATGTTTAGAACATTGAAGCTAATAGAAACTATACTTATCTATAAACAGCTTCCTATTCCATATTCCAAGACAATTTTAAAGTAAATTTACATTTAAATGATAGCAAATCATGGTCAAACCATTATAATTTTAGTACGGCTTCCACAACTGCCAAGTTGACGTATGAGACTAAATATATTATTTGTAATTACAAGAAGTTATTATAATACATGTACATACTGCAATTAGTAAATAACTATAAATAAATGTGTCAGTGGCCTGGCTAAAAGCCATCCCTAATTGCATTGTCTCTTCATCATCTTCTTTCTCTTAAATTGAGGGAGAAAAGGATGGAAGAGAGGCACTTGCCACTGCCTCTTTGAAGAACATTTGCACAGTCACTGACTAAATGGCCATATGTCAAGGTCTATCTGTAAATCGAGGCCTGATGGTTCAAGCTTAAAGAAGCTGAGCTTGTCACCTGGAGAGCTGACAGCCCAGTTCAAGATGCAATGGGGTGAGTTCCTACTATTTGCACCGGCTCCTGCCCACCTAGCAGTTTGAAAGTATGCAAATGAGAGCAGATTAATAGGAACCACTTCCGTGGGAAGGTAAGACCTTTGGCCTATAGTCATGCTGGTCACATGACCAAGAAAATTATCTTGGGACGATGCTGGCTCCCTCAGCCAAGAAATGGAGAGGAGCACCATGTCCTAGAGTGAGACACAACTGACAACTTTATCTTTTTATCTGTAAATCTGTGAGTCATTAATATACCATAAAACCATATTTCTTACTAATAACTCTACTTCTTTATATTTCATCTTTGTTTCCTAAACTCCTACCATGAACATATTCTATCTGTAGTGAATGCTGTAGACAAAAGCTAGGCTTTATAAGTAGTTCTTGATTTACAAACATTCATTTGACAAATATTCAAAGTTATAATGGCACAGAAAAATGAGACTTATGGTTGGTCTTTGGACATAGTCACATGACCAAAATTCAGTTGCTTGGCAACCATCATAAATTTATGGTGGGTGCAGCATCCCTGGGTCCTGGGATCACCATTCATGATCTTCCAACAAGCAAAAGTAATGGAGGAAGGTAGATTCATTTAATGATTGTGTGATATGTGGTGATTTGCTTAATAACAGCAGCAGAAAAAGCTGTAAAATCAGGCATAGCTCACTTAATACCTGCATCACTTAGCCACAGAAGATGTGCTCCAAATTCTGGTTGTGTCAAGGCCTACTTGTATAACCCAGTGGAATTTTCAAAGCATACCTTGAGCATACCTTTATATGCCGCCCTGAGTCTTCGGAGAGGGGCGGCATATAAATTGAATTAATTAAATTAAATTAAATTAAATACCTTGGCTACTTTATCAAAATGGCCATTATTGGAAGTCCTTGACTATTTACAAAATGATTGCCGTGAAAGGCAAGACTAGTCACAAAAATCACATCTTTCAAAAGACAGACTCCTGTCACTTCCTTTATCACATGAGACATATAGTTTTTTTTCTCCTGTCATGTAGGCATAATTCTAAAAAAGCTCTAACATTTATATTAATATCTCATATAAGCTGTAGGGTCTAGGTGAGGCCAAGAACTATTATTTTAAATGAATATTGTGTTGTAGGCCAGTGATGGCGAACTTCTCACATGTGCTCATCAGGGCCATGACCAGGAAGAGGAGCTGCCCAGGGGACATGCATGAGCCAAATAAGGTACTTCCGGTTTAGCGTGCCGGCCAGCAAGTCTTCCGGTTACTGCTGCGCATGCACACGTGCCAATCAGCTGGTGGCTCACATGCTCACGGCGCACATGCTAACATGCATGTGTGTGTGGCCAGATGCTTCTAGCCCCAGAGGAGGAATCCGCAGTTCTGCATTGGGGATAGGAAGTGTTTATCTCGGACTTTTGAGATGGGAAGGGCAAGAATGAGGGGCAGTACCAATGAGAATTCTCCCCGCTTGAGCGTCATCGGTTTCTGGGCAGAGTCCTTTGGGACTTCAGCTGAAGGAGGAGAGACAGTTCTGCAGAGAGAGAGAAGCAGAGAAAGTGGAAAGTGGGATCTTGGCCTGAATAACCAACTTGGGGTTCTTCTCTGCATGGAACTCTCTCTAGTGGGTGAAGTCAAGGGAGACTCTGCCCGGAGACCGATGATGCTGCAGAAAGGAGAATTCCCATTGGTCCTCCTTCTTTTTGGACACTCCCAATTCCAAAGTTCAGGGAAGCCCCATATACCGGCTCACAGACCGGCTCTTCCAGTTTCCGACACTGCCACACGCCCAAGGGCCAGCTGATTATCGTGTGCTCATGCACATCAGTAACCCGGAAGAGGAACGGCTGCTGCAGTGCGGGCCAAGCGACATGGCTTCGTGTGCCACTTTGGGCACGTGTGCTATAGGTTCGCCATCATGGCTATAGGCTGTGCTTTGCTTTACTCTGCAGCACCCTTGCTTCCCATTTATATATGCTAACTGTCATGCCCCCGTTGGAGCCTGAATCTGTGGACGAAGACGAGCTGGAACTTAAGCCAAGAGATTGAGGGAGCAATTTCGTTGGCATCGGAGGAAAATGGGGAAGGCCAGGGCCTTTCAGGATTAGAATAGCTTGTAGACAGGGAGGGACAGGGACAGGAAGACTATGACAGACAAAGATCAGGCAAAGAGCAAGGACCATCCCCTCCTGATCCGAGAGCACTAGAGAGTGGAGAGAAGGTGAGAACAGCGCAGACTGAGCAGACTACTTGGGAGAAGACTGCCCCGCCAATCTTCACAAGGTATACCTGGGGAATGAGACTTAAGGAGATGCTGTTTGTCAGGAACAAACGCCGAGTTCCTGAAGTGTTGAGTGCCGACGTTTGAATGTTCCAAGAGTCCCTGCATTCTTTCTGGCTTCCTGGACTAATTAACTGGATCCTTTGCTTCCTGAACTACTTGATTTGCGCTGCTGGATTTATTGCTGTGCAGCCTTGATATAGACAGAGCTGGGCTAGACTATTTGCAATAGTCTAGCCAATTTGGGGGGTGGCGGGGTGTTGTTATCACTTTGCTCTGGGACTTGCCAGAAACTTGGGAGCATTTGGGGAAATTTAGAGCAATAAAGGGATGGTTTGAACTGCCAGATGCCGGTGTGAACTCTGTCATCACACTAACTTAAGAATCCAAAATAATAAAATTATATGGGGTATGAAGCTTGATAGGCATTAAGAAAAGTGTTTGTGTGTACATTGATGTTCATGAGACAATATTGTAGTCTTCCTCTGATAAGTCTACATTCATCACAACCACTGATCATCCATAACAAGCTGCTACAAACATTCAGACTATTTGTAAATGATGGAAACTCTGATTTTTTAAAAAAATGTTTGCTATACATTTGTAGGCAAATAACAGAAAACGTAACATAAATCCATTCCAGTTTGACAGTTCCTCAAATGTTCTGCATGTTGCACCCTAGTCTTTTTATTTTTTTTTCTTATTGAATTTTGAGATTAAGTACAGAGTGCTAAATTTTAAAACAAATTTCTGTCAACTCTGCAAATTTATTTATTACAAGACAGAGCAGTGAAGCCTAGTATGACCTATTCTTTAGTGTTTGATTGAACATTTGACCTTCCTTCTCAGCCAAAATATGTTTTCTCCAAGACATGACATACCAACCAGAAAAGCATGTACCTAAAAAGTAGCCTTTAAATATAGGAAGGTGGTAAAGGCAGATAAAAGACAGAGCTTCATTAAAAAAAAAAATCTCATCTACATTATAATCAATTAATCTTTCTGGTTGCGAAGACTGCTCTGAAAATCCAAATGTTTAAATATATTTTGGGTAGCAGGGGATGAAGTTTACTTTTTCGATTTCAGAGTGAAATAGTCATAGTCCCAATATTTTTGCCACTTTGTCCTGATCATGGAAAATGTTGTTCTGCACTGATTGCTAGTGAGGTCACAACAGGCCGTATACTCACATTCCCCACAATGCATCATTTTCTCCCCTCTCTCTTTTTGTTACGGGCAGCAAGCAGGCGCATCCAATGCTGTATTACTTTCTTCTTTCGTTCATGACGATGTCACATACAGGCTCTGCAATCCTGAAAAAGAAGCATTTCCCAGGTTTTGAGGACAGAGGTACTCTAACCAATCCATCAATGCTTTGTGTGCTAATGATAGATTCACGCATAAGAGACACCATAAGCAGTGTGAGCAGCAGGCATGAAAAGGAGTGAATCAAGTGTCAGCAGTTGAGATCTGAAGGACTGTAAGGCTGTGATTAGAATTTTCAATCAGAGTTTCCACAATTCATCATGTTACTCAGAAAGGAATGATGGGCTATCCCCCTTTTCTTTTTAACAGACATCTTCCTTCAACTGTTTCTCTCCCTCCTCTAATATTAGCATATCAGTAAGTTTCTGAGACTTAGGGCTGGGTGGGGTGGGGGAGCTCACTCAGTTCCATTTATAGCACAGATTTACAGTAAAGAGAAGGAAGCAGACGATGTAGCAGAAAAAATATCGCTTTCTGTTTCCTTTTGCAGGCACAAAAATCTGTAATAAATTTGATTTCACTGTAAAAAAAAATCATTCAAGTGTTGAGATGAATTTTATAGGATTAAAGAATCAAAAGTACTTTAGTCTTTTTCCATGGGACTGTATTCCTTCTTCAAGATTACTGTCCTTTTAGATAATCACATGGGATATCTATGTGAACATTCTAACTCTGGGATCCTGTATCTGTAGGGTAACTTTATTTGGAAAGGCAGAATACCATAAAAAAAAACCTATTTTAAATGTAATCATAGCATTTAGAAAATCTGAATAAATTTAAAAAGAGGGTACATAATTCCTTAGGTTTTAAAAGCCTGTTTAATACGGATTCAAGGAATGAAAATGTGTTTATTTTAACCAAGAACGTATTAGATCAGTCATCATTAACAATGAAACTGTTTACAGTGCTTTCTTAGTGCAATCCCATTTTCTATGTTTGGCCAGATGGATAAGCTACAGCATGACAACTAAATATACTTTGATATTAAAGTCCAATAAAATAACATTTTCAGAAATTAATACAGCTTTAGTACCAAGAATGCACAGGCATCTCTTTAAAAAAATTGCTTGAGAAGCATATCAAACAAGGGCCATGATAGCAAACAAAATGATGGAAATTAAACCACTTGCCTGTTTAAATTCTTGTATTTAAGCACCAGTTTAAATGCTAAATATTTACTCTATTTTCTGACCCAGAATACAATCCAACTAATTGTGCAGCCAATCATGTATTTATTTCACTCAATTTATATGGCCACATATCTCACCAGGATGACTTTGTGCCATTAACAACAGCTAAAAACATAAACAACATCTAAATAAAATGTATTTGCTGCCTATAAGATAAAAGCCAATCAAACAATTAAAATAGCCATTCCCTGGTCTCTAATTGACAATCCAATGCTGGGAATACATCCAGGTCTTCAGAGCTTTGCAAAAGACTAGCAGGATCAAGGCCAATCTACTCTCTGGAGGAATGGTATTCCAGAGGGAAGGTGCCATGACAGAACTTTTGTATCCTGTGGCCTGCCAGATGACAGTCCTCCATCAATGGGAACCATAACATTCTTTTTTCTGCCAGATGTGATGGGATGAATAGAAACAATCAAGGAGAGGTGGTCCCATAAATAACCAGGCCCTGTGCCATGAAGGTCTTTACAGATGACTACTAGTGAATTGCACTCTGAAGCATACTGGTAACCAGTGCAACTCATAGGGCAGAAGTATAACATATGCACACCACAGGGAGTCCATAACTGCCTCATTTAAGACCAGCTGCAGCATCTGTATGTTTTTCAAGGCCAGACCCATGTAGAGTTACTTGCAATAATCCACTCAGGAGGTGACAAAAACATGAAGGACTGTGTGCAGAGCCTCTTGCAATTGGCATACAATACAACAGAACGATGTGCAAAAGCCCTCCAAGCTGTCCAGAAAGACACCCAAATTGCACATGGATTTTGTTTGGGACAGTGCAAACCCATTCACAACAAGAAAGGAAAACTATCTAGAACCAAGAGTTCCAAAAAAATCCAAGCAGGGTTGGATTGAAACTTGGTCTTCCCTATATCCAAGCTCCTACCACCTCCAGACAACAAGACAGCGCAGGATACTCTGATGATATCTCATCTGGTGCCATGGAATCTCACCCAGCAGCTTTGTGTAGATCTTTAGCAACAGTGTAGAGTGTGTCAAGTCTTGAAGAACCCTAGAAATCAGGAGCTGTGTGCTAGTAACACTTTCCTTTTCATCAACATCAGCTGGAACCAGCTTCAGAAGAAAGAAGAGAAACAGTGCAACACAATGCCATTCACTGTTGAACCCTGAAGCTGGGCCAGAAGGTAGCTTTTATGTGGATGTAATTCTAACATAGAGGGCTATAATAAAGTAGTAATTTATATGGGAATTATCTTTCCCTTTCTTCTTCTTCTATTTCTCATATTTTTATAGTGAACCATAGAACTAAGTATTTGGTTATTCAAGCAAATATTTGATTTCCTGAAACAAGCATGTGGTCAAAAACTGAAGCCCATTCAAAATCTAATCTTTGGGGGCCAATTCTGAAATTACTAATTAACTTCCGTATATTTTACTTTATTTAAGAAATCGTATCTGATAAAATCAAGGAATCCAAATTACGCTTTTAATTTGAATACAGTGAGGGTATATCTGGAGGTAAGCAAGCAATAAATAAGAGTGATGTGATTGAATTCACAATAAAAACAGAGTCATAGAGAGAAGCTAAGGTAAGAACTTTTGCCAAAATCCCAGGTTTACTTTGTTTGCATCCCTGAAAGGTAGCTCACACTTTGGTGCTGTGACTGCATATTACAAACCTTTAAATAATATTCATGAGCTCAGCTCTTGTAAATTAGGGATATATCAGGGGCTAAAATTTAAGTCATAGTGAGAACGCTGCATAGAAGCATTTCAATCTGAACTATTACCATGATTCTCATATCTATTCTTTGTCAGTATCTAAACAAATGTGATAATAGACTGAAAAACAGTATATCTATTTCTTTCCCTAGTAAATATCAACTGCACTCAAATCCTCTCCTTTCAAATAATCCTGGAGTTTAATCTTTTAAAGGCCTATTTTGATCTTTTCCTTGGCAGATAACATCACTCCCATTTGCTAACCATTCCAGATATTCTGAGCAGGAGGTCAACTGTAATTCTGTCAGCCAGCAAGCAAAACATATGTGGATTACTACAAAGAGGTTTGCATATTAACATTTTAACTAGACTGACAGGTGCATAGTAAAGATCTCATGTGACAGTTCTACCATTGAGTGAACTATCCCAACCTTCTGTCAGGCATGGAAGCAGTAAACAATTGTTGACATCAAAGCCTTGTTGATATGAATAAAGGTATTATCACATTAGGTCTAGGATCTACTAAATTACCAAAAGAAACAGAAAATGGTTCTTAACGAAATGAAAATTTATTAAATTGAGAGCCATAATGAATATTCACTTTTAGATTCCAATGGTTTCCCAAATTATACTATAATATATATTGACAACATCATGCCAGTATAAATACTAACAATCTTGTACTCATTAAGGCAGAAACCAATGTTTCTGAACTTGGGCAATTTATCTATGGGTTTCAAATTCCAAATTCAGCACAGCCACTGCTGAGCCTTTTTAAGTCCACGTATCTAATCTATAATTTGACTAGGAAAACATTTCCACAAATTACTGTTCACAAACCAAATTGGGCCACATAAGATATACCGTGTTTTCCCAAAAATAAGACCCTGTCTTATATTTTTTTGAACCCTGAAGTAAGCGCTTGGCCTTATTGCCATGCGCTCAAAAGCCCGATTGGGCTAATTATCAGGGGATGTCTTATTTTGGGGGAAACAGGGTAATATAAAACCAAACAATCAAATCAAGGTGCTGGAAAAAGGTAAGCAGGATTTTAAAACTGGAAGAAGAAATATCAATAATCTTATGCTATGGTTTTGGCTGCCTGGTGCCCAAATGTAAATCACAGGACCGAGGGGATGTTGCAAAGGTTGTAAGTGAGAGTACTGATTGCAAGTCACTTTTTTCAGTGCTTTTATAACTTTGAATGGTCACTATAGTATACAAATAGTTGTAAGCTGAGGACTACCTGTATATAACTCAATGCAGTAAACATATGTAATACTCCAATTTTTCCACAGCAACCCTGTAAGATGGGTTGGGCTGACAGTGAATGACTGGCCAAAGTCACCCAAATGGGTCTCATGAATAAGGAAGGTCTAGATCAGGGTTGTCAAACTCAAGGCCCACAGGCCAGATCCACACTGCGAGGTGATTAGATCTGGCCTGCAGGGCCACCATGGAAACAGTGAAGGACTGGCCCACAGTGCCTCTTCCAGCGAAAATGGGGTCCAGGGGGGTCCGCGTGGCCCCCTAAGCTCTGTTTGGCAGAGGGCTGCAGGAAGCCATCGCGGCTGAAAACAGGGCCTGTGAGCCCATTTTCACTGGCAGAGCCTCGGGCCACCACAGGCACCCCCAACATGACTGACATCAAACTGGCCATGCCCAACCCGGCCCCTTGAGATCAAACACAACCTTGATGTGGCCCTCAGTGAAACTGAGTTTGACATCCCTGGTCTAGATAGTCTCTATGTTTCTAGGCCAGCACCTTAACCACTACACCAACTTGCTCTCAATAACATTGGGAAAGGTGCAGGGTGGATTTGATTTAAATCGAGTTGATTTAAATCACAATTTAAATCATGATTTAAATCACTAGTAAAAAGGCTTGATTTAAATCAACTCGATTTAAATCATAATTTTTAAAGAGCAACTGTCATCTCTGCTACTCCTTTGACCCACTGTTGACTCACCAATAGTCCCAGTGTTGCAGAATATACAGCCTCATGCTACATAACTAAGCTCCATTTCATGCTGAATAAACTAAATTATTTATGTATCTTAAATAGAAAACTATCTTACGATAGATTTTTACCCCAAAAGTTTTTTATTAAAATAAATTTGATAAAAATCAAAAAAATCCGATTTAAATCAAAAAAATCTGAGTTTTA